TTGTTAATGATTCTTCCTCCAATCCTGATACCACGTTTTTCTTCATATAGTCCAGCTTCTCGGATTATTTGCTCAGCATATAGATTGAATGATATTTGTAGAAAGAACTAATCAAAGAACCTACTGTGTGCAAGGTCCTGGGGGAGCAACAGTGATTGAGACAAGGTCCAAGACTCAGGGCTCAGTCTAAGAGAGAGAGCTACTAGTAAGCATTACAGCACTACGCTGTCAGCACTCTAATAGAAGTTCTTTAAAAGTGCTTGGAAGGCTGCACAGCATGCTGACTTCCCATAGAAGTCATTTTGTATCTCTAGTGGTTAAGAGCACAGACTCTCAAACCAGGTAAATCAATGAATGCAGGTTTTGCCTCATTTAATAATTTAATACCTGAGTGACCTTGGGCAAAATACCATGTCTGATTGTCAGTGTTCTTACCATTAAAATACAGATAGTAATAGTATTGTGAGTGCAGTACAGTGAATTGCTTAACATATCCCTTCTAGCCATAGTCTTCCATATTGTGATGGACTGTAAATCTTGGTGGCATAGTGCCTAAGGCATTTGACTGCTAACCAGTAGGCTGGTGGTTCAAACCCACCAGCCACTCCTTGGAGGGAAGATTAGGCAATCTACTTCTATGGTATTGCCTCAGAAACCCAAGGAGGGGTCACTATGAGGTAGAATCGACTCAACGGCAGTAAGTGAGATACCTGTGTATAGTGGGATGTATCTTGAGTCTCACCTTGCTGAAGGGTGTGACTCAAGTCACCACCCTTAGTTTCTTTGAGGGTATATATGTGAATGTTCTGGCAAAGTTTTCTCTCTCTTGCTCTGGATCGTGCATTTGGTTCATCACCATCTCACCATCTCATCTGTTTTGGTTAATTGTTGATATAGCTCAGGGAAGGTGGCTGCTTGGATGGATGTTCTGCTTTTGGGTTGGGGAATAATAGATAATACCAAAGGCAAGTACTGCAAGCAGTAACAAAGTATAATTCCAAAAACAACAAGCATAACAAAACAAATAAAATTTTTCCTAAGCCAAGAAAAATCTGGAAGCTGGGAAGTTAACCATGAAAACAGACCTTCCCCAAATCCTGTTGACTTCAGGATGTGTAGTCAGGTAGCCTGTGCTCTAGTCCTTTCCAGGCACTGTTCAACTTCCTGCAATTTGTTAACAAACATACAACAAGAGGTATTTGCTTCTGCACAGATACCATCTTGTTGGGCCAAAATAAAATCTAGGGCTATTTAGTTGTCCTGGACTACCTTAACTAATGAGGTTAGGGATTCTTTCTGCAATTTAAAAATTCTGTGTCCAAGATAACATGTTCAAGCGTCCAGGACATATTTCAGAGGGAACTTGTCAACTGAGTTACTCCTAATTGAGAGATAATAGCCTGGAGGCCAGAAATAAACTCTCCAGGATTTTCTTTCTTTTTCTTTTTTTTTTTGTTTTAGGATTTACTTTTATACGATGGTTTCTGCCAGAGGTGGGGACCAAGGCTCTCTTAATTCTGTACCTCAGAACAGGTTCTCAGGAGTCACTGATGTCTTTGGGAACAATGGAAAAGGGTTCCCCTAACTGTCTGAGGGTACGTTTCCCCTTCATTGGCCATCCATCCAAACACTGAAGGGCCCAGGCAGTCCCTTTCTTGGTCAGTGGACCAGATCACTGGTTGTACCCACAAAGAAAATATACCCCTAGGGAGCACACCACTCCTTTAGTTGTTCTGTTGTCAGGTACAGGAATGGTGTTATTGGCTTGCTCAAGCCAAGGCTCAGCTAGGGACTCATTACTAGGGGGCTGTCCCAGTAAGCAAGCATATGGGCATATCATTGGCAAGCTGAATTTGTTTTAATAACCCAGTCAGTCAATTGAGGGTCTTGCAGAAGCCAGATAATCTCACCTTCCACTGGGCATATGGCAGCTACTTGGTTGTACAGGTTCTCTATATAATTGGTTCCAGTTAGGTTTCTCAGAGACCACTGAGTAAGATTAAAACAAGCAACTAAAATGGACAGAAACCACAGCTGGATCCTAAGTCCCCTGGGAACATAAATGGAAGAATTAATGGTAATATTGGGCACAAGGGAATAATTACACACTGGGGTGGTCCAAGCATCCCCAGCAGCTAGGGCAGAACTGATTGTTAGCAGTCCTCTCTCATTCCATATAATTCCATGGGCACTGAGAATACCAAAAAAATATTTTGAGT